ATTTATAATTGTGATTTTGTGTGCAGCTTTGTATTTTGCTTGCTGAACTGTGTAGATATTAGCATCCTCTATTTATATATATATATCTAACTATTGCATGAGAGTGTTACTATATTGTGCGTATAATTGCCAGTTCTTACATGTTAAGGCCATTAGCTATCGATGACTTGAGCTCTTAAGCTAATAGGATTGTTTGCTCAAATATGTTCGAGCTCTAGGTTGAGTTCTGTAGTAAGAAGAAATAAATGGAGTAGTTGATCGTTGGTTTCTCCTCCTTTCTCTTTTGCTCCAATCTCTTCCTTTTGTTTTGAGTCCTTTTTGTGTTTCTCTTACCATTGGTTCTCTTGGGTTTCATCTCTAGCCTACCCCAACTTGCTTGGGACTAAAAGGCTGTGTTGTTGTTGTTGTTGTAGTTGATCGTTGGTTTGTGTATTTCTATGGATAATATTGTCATAGTGCTAAAAAGTTTTCTTCTTGCGACATTATTATGTAAAATATTCAAGTATAATTATATTTTTATCATCGTCATCATCATTCTTTTGTCTGTTATTGATTTCTTGATTCATATTCATAGTTTTGAGTCTCTCTACTAAAATGGGGACCAGTCTCATCGTGGATGTGACACGTTCACGCAGTTATAGGATCAAAAGGGGATCATTCGGCTAGAGACAAATTATAATATTTTATTGGACATATTTCTAATATCAATTCCTCTTCAAACTAACAAGAAAAATTGTTATCTTTATGCTTTGTTTACAAACTGTAGCATCGTGTAAAATCCGTTCACTTTCATCGCACAAGTCGTTAATTTATTATTAGCAGTCGAATTGTTGTTTCGAAATATTGTTTCTAATGTTTATTTATCTCGGGATTTGTTACAGTTGCGGTACAAGAGCAAAGGGCAGCTTCAATGACAGTGGTGGGGTCCAGCGCGGGAGATTCCTCGCCCCCCGACTTGATGCTCCCAAAGGACAAGTCCGAGCCATTGGGCCTTAACATCCAGCAAATCCCACTTGAGGACCGTGCATGCGGGCCTGACATAAACTCTTCCCCGGCCGAAGGCCCATTGGGCCCTTGTCTAGAGGAACACCCTTTCATCACCAGCTTCAACAGCAAGCCGATTGATACGTTGGAAACCGAGAATCTGTCAGTATTGAGGAATGATGGTGGTGAGGACCTTAGTTTTTCGCTGCAGTTGGGGGAAAACGAGCCCAAGAGAAGGAAATCCGAGTCAAAGGGGTGTTAAGGTGGGACTTGTTGGTTTGTTGTACAATGAAATGATGGTTTAGACAAATTTTGAGGTGCATGCTGAGTGTATTGTACATGATGATGTTGTGGGCTTTGAAAACTGAGGTCCATACAAAGTTGTATTATTTATTTATTTTAAGATTTGTTCATGTGCATCTAACTTGCTTGGATTGATGAAGTAATTCTGCCACTTTCTGCTTCAACTTATTGTGACTGCTTGCTTCTTCCTAAAAAGAGAGACGTTTCTCTCTCTTTGAAATTCTAAAAATAAAGAATCTTGTTGTTCAGACTGTGTTCAAGCAAAGTCACATAATTACCTTTTTACACTAATGCTAATGTTTCTCAAATTCATACACACCTATGGGGCCCTTCACCTATTAAATCCACCTTTGGTTGTCCTATTGTGTAGCCTTTATTGATAATTATTTCAAATATAGTTTGGATTTACTTTCTTAAACACAAGTCAGACACTTAAGCCTTTATTCAGTTCCAAAACTTAGTTGAAGACCAATTAAACCACAAGATTAAGATGTAAAAAGATATTGGGAATAAGCTTTCTCTAATGCCATTTATTTGATCAATAGGATTCCAACAAGACCATCTCCTACAACTCCCCATTTCTTCAGCTATATATGGCCACACACCCACCTATACTCACCTTAGAACTTTTGGTTGTCTCTGTTATCCTCATCTTAGGTACTGTGCCAAGGATAAGATTGATTTAAGAGCATAACCGGGTGTGTTCTTAGGTTATAATCCTCAGTTTAAAGGAATTCTCATGTTGGGAGTTAGTATTATCGTAGGTGCGTTGTGGTGGTTAGACGTGGATGCCCTCCTATTAGATTCGACTTTTGGACGACTTCTAGTTATAATTATGTGTTTAATCTTATCTTGNGAAAAAAAAAAAAAAAGAAAAAACGGTGTATTTTTCTAAAAAATTTCTACGAGTGGTCCAAGGCCCATTCTTCTATCTAGTGGACATTTTGATTTGGTAAAGCCCAAAACTCTATCCTCCTCAGTCCTCACCCCCCTCACACTTCTTCACTGAACCTAGGGTTTACGGAAGCATTTCACTCTGCGCACTGCTCCAATGGTGAAACCCGGTCGCGGTCGCCCTCGATCAGGCTCTCGCTCTCGCTCCTCATCCCGCTCTCGCTCGCGTTCGCGTTCCCCTGTATCGCGACGTTCAGTCTCTTCTCGTTCGCGCTCGATTTCCTACTCGAGCTCGTCGCGCTCCAGTAAACGGTCGAGGTCCCGTTCTCGTTCTCGCTCCAACTCAAGATCAGTCTCATCTTCATCTCGCAGAAGTAGCTCTCGGAGCCCTAGCCCTACTCCTCGTCGGAAGAGGTTAATTTTATGTTCTACCGTATTAATGTATTTTTTCTTTTTTCTTTTTAGTTAATGCCGAAGATACATGCTGTGCTTGATGACACCGGCCATGCAAAGGAAAAGAGGAATAAGCCTAGATTTTTTAATACATTTGAAATTTGTTATTTTTTCGGTGGATGCTAAGAACCATTATCCTTCAGTCGTAAGACATTTCATTTTTTTAATCAATAGCCCAGATTCTTTAGNNNTGTCTGAACTTCATTTTTAGATTTTATCATCCCCTTGATAATGCAAACTGTAGAGACGTAGGGTTGTAATTGTTAACTATAAATATTACATTGATAAAATACAGCCTTTTGCTATTGGTTGGATAGAATCATTGAATTTCTTGTAAAATTGTCATGTCTCACTTTTCTTGGATTGCCTGCTATTAACGTTTTTTTTTTGTTGTTGGGTTTTGCATAGCCCTGCTGATGGAGTGAAAAGAGGACGTTCTCCACCACAAAAAACTAAGAGAACTTCCCCTCCCCCACGGTTAGTTATTTCTTGATTGAGTAAAAAGATGAATTCCGTTACTTTAATTTGTTGATTGTGCCAAACAATTTTGATGTTATTTCAACTCTAGTTGTTGATGGTGGCAAATAGTTCTATGTTTTCCAACCCTAGTTGTTGGTGGCAGCTAAGAATTCCATGTAATTTCAAGTTTCAACCTAGTTATTGATGGTGTCCAGCAATTCCATTTTTCTTTTTTTCAAATTATCATGCTTCAAACCTTGTTTTAATTTTTCCCTCACAATTTTGGTCTTTCTGTGGATATATTACCTTATGAATTCAATTCAATTATTGTTCTGTAAAGAATTTTGGGTACATGAGAGGGAAAATGTCGACTGCTGAACCACATAAAAATTATGATATGTTAAGGCTCAGTTGAGTTATGTACGTTCGTATCAGTCCTTTTATGTGCATGTACTAACATAATGCGCTTGTGATACTTTTATATCTGATTTCGCTTGTTCTATGCATAAGCATAGGAAATTATAAATTTTAAGTGATACTGTTGTCAATGAACATGTCTGGTGCTTTGCAATATCAGGTTAGGATATACAATATTGCCGTGAGTTGATGTTTTGTCATTATTTGCATTCCCTCCCATCCACCAGATCCCATCTTTTTGGACAATAAAGAATAAAAAATATTGTGACTGGAATTAAATGTTGCTACTGTTTTAGGGGTTCCATGCTATAATTATTGCTATAATTACGTTGCTTTAAGATTTCCAACATCTGTTTCATTCTATTCTATCTGCATGCTAGTATTTTTTTTTTTTTGTATACCATCTTTGGCTCTTCCTTTGCTTCTTTGGATTTTTTTTTTCTTGACATAATTTTTGGTTCTACTTCCAAATGTGATTATTATGTGAGCGTTTATGCTATGTATGTTTACCTATGATCTGTCTCCAGGAAAGCTTCTCCGATTCCTGAATCCCTTGTGTTACATGTTGATCAGCTGAGCAGGAATGTGAACGAGGGTCATTTGAAGGAAATATTTGGTATGGCGGCTACTCATCATACATTGACGTCATATAAGTTGTGGTTATCTATTTCCGATATATGATATTACATTCACCATAGCTCATTCCAGTTATCTATTTATCGTGATTCTAAAGTTATGTCCTATTGCTGTATCGTTGTACTTTCACAGGTAATTTTGGTGAAGTGGTTAATGTACGGCTGGCCATTGACCATGCTGTAAGTGTTCTGGTTACCAGTTTCATGTTCATTTTAGAAAAAAACCTCTACCCGGTTCCTTAGATTTTGATGCCATTCTTGTTTACAGGTTAACCTTCCGAAAGGATTTGCGTATGTAGAGTTAAAAAATAGGGCCGATGCTGAAAAGGCACAACTATACATGGACGGTGTATGATTTTATTTTTATTCGTACTCGATATTTAGTTAATTCTTGTCCTTCGGTTTGCAGTTTAATATCTCCATCCCATGTTTCGTGCAGGCTCAAATTGATGGCAAAGTTGTATGGGTGAAGTTCACTTTACCTGAAAGAAAGAAAATTCCATCTCCATCTAAAGCTGTTGTCACCACATCAAGGAGAGACGGCCCGAAATCTCAGGATGCTTCTGCAGATGGCGACAAAGATGGGCCAAAGCGGCCCAGAGAAGGTGACATCTATTTACAAAGCTGCCAATTGAATTACACGTTTTTTCCTCTTGCCAACCTTACTTATTTAAAAAAAAATAAATAAATCGGTTTTGTCGTTAGCTTCCCCTAGGAGGAAACCTCCTTCACCTCCCCAAAGAAGATCTCCTGTAGTTCGAAGAGGATCTCCCCCACCCCGTAGACGTCCAGATTCTCCTTACAAGCGAGGTGGTTCTCCGCCTCCAAGGAGGAGGCTGGGATCTCCTGGCAGAGGTCGTTCTCCTTCTTCACCTCCGAGGCGTTACCGGTCACCTCAAAGGTTGGATTTTTTTATTATGTTTTGAATTAGCTGTGCATGTTTTTCTTTCCCACTTTACTTTTTTTTTTAAAAAAAATTTTAATCCACGGGCATCTATTTGGGTGTGCCTTGTTTTTGAGCAGAGGATCACCAAGAAGGATGCGTGGTAGTCCAGTTCGTCGGCGATCTCCTCCGCCGCCGAGACGAAGGTGATAAATTACTGACATTTGATTTCTTCTTCCCGAGATGCTATTGTTGATGCGTTTACGTTCTTGAATAAATTATTATTTACCAATATTATGTGTATATTTTTCTCATAGGAAAGAAATTATGTGATGGTATTATCTCGTATTCTTTATTTATGAAGGTCGTAAGGCAAAAGATCCTCGTTTTCTTGAAAAGTTTGCTTTTGCTTGCAGTCCCTCGTTTGCATGTATCACTATAGTTCTATAATTTCTTCTCTCTTGTCGTGACGTATGATGCACGGGAAAATGTTATATTTACCTGTCTATCATTTTAATATGCTCGAATGTCATCTTGAAAGCACATAGCATCTTTCTGTATGTGCAACAATATATAATAGCTCTATTGAAGGGTTAATATGCAAACTCTATATTAGGGAAAGAAATTTGCTAAATTGGTTATGTGGGGCGTGTTTTTTTCTTTTTTTGAAACAGTTACACTTTTTTACTGAAATCTACTTCAGGCAGCTTGTGACATATATCCTTTTGCCACACATTTCTTGTGTGAAGGCATGAGATGTCTTTGCATGCATACTAATAGTTTGATTTTAGTTCTTTTCAAAGATGATATCGTTTTGAATGTGCTATCCATTGATCAAAGCTTCTGAAAACAATGCGATGGAGAAGAATCATGAGACGTCACTGCACCATGTTACATTTAATATTGTGTCTGCATTTTTAATGCACATAGATTATATTGTTGCATAGAATGCCTCAAGAAACCTATTATTCTGAAGGATGTTTGTACCTATCCGAACAAATTTTTCATCCACTTAGGTCCCCAAGACGTGCTCGGAGTCCTCCGCGGAGGTCTCCGATTGGTCGTCGACCACGCAGTCGCTCTCCTCTGAGGAGGCCAGCTCGTTCTCCATCAGGATCCCTCTCTCCAAGGAGGTAAAATGCAAACAATTTGTCACATCCATTTTAATTTTCTTTAATTGTTTCATAGATCTATTTTCATTGATTTTGTCTGGGTGATAGTTATTTAACAAGGAAAAAAGAGTGATATTTGGCTGGAAAAGTTCGATTTTCTTACTATTTTGTTTTTCATTTATTTTGCTTTTGTACAATACAGAGGCCGAGGCCCACCTCCTAGACGCGTTAGACGGTCTTATTCTTCATCACCTAGCCCGCGCAGGGTCTGTACCCTCTAAATAATCAACTCTTATCAATTTATCTGGTTGATGTCTTAAACCTTAACTAGTATTTATGGTTAAATCTATTGCAGGGACCGAGAAGAGTATCACGGAGCCGTAGTCCTAGAAGGTAGTTTGTCTATTTTATTTTATTCTTATACTTTTACTTTTTGGATTCGTAATTATTTAATGACGTGAAAATGGCTTTTTCATGAGCAATTTTTTATTTACCATTTGTTAGAGTTACTATTTTTTATGTATTTATATATATAATCACGGTTGTTTCAGGCCTGTGAGAGGAAGAAGTCCTAGCAGCAGCAGCACGAGCAGATCTACCTCACCTGCGCGTAAGCCTTAAAATCATTAGATGAGCTAAAAGAAGCCACTGAGCATAGTGTGGTGTGATGTTTGGGTGAGATTCACAGGTGGGTGGCAAGCTGAGAGTACTCTATTGAAACTTTTAAGATCTTTGTACCATTTTGAGATTAAGTACCTTTCTAGTAGCTCTTTGTTGGTGACGAAGGATGCACATGTATCAGATTTTGCTTGTGTGCGGTAAAGTACTGTGTTGAATCATAATCATCTTTTTGTGAAATCATGCTACTGAGAGTTAATTTGGACTATGGTAAGAGGCTAAGAGCTATTGAACCGTCCGGTATTTTGGTCCGATTTTGATAAATTTGAGGATGGAATGAATTGCAAGTCATATACTCCATAATATAAGCTTCCTGATTTGAAAATTTTGAAATTTTGGCCTTGTCCATTCATTAGATAAATATAAAGGGATTATACTAATAGAATTCTAGAAGTAGCTAGGCGTTGAGCTAGTGCCTAGTCAGTAGAGCACCTAGGTGAGGCTTAGGCAGCGCTCAGACGTGGTTTAGAAATTAAGATTAAATATAATATATTTTATTTATTTTTACTACTTACAAAATAAAATTATCTCAACTTATAATAAATCGACACACCTATGTTCATATAATAATATTAATATGTTATAAGAAAATATGATAATAAAATATTGTAATTAGTATTTAGAAAAAAATAAAAAAAATGAAAAATTGTCACAAAACTCGCCTAGGAGCGTCTAGGTCCAAGCCTAGGCGCAGCCCAGCTGTCAAGTCCGCCTAGCCTGTGTAGCTGGCTGACTGATTCATTTGTGAACTGAAAGTTTGTTATTTTGGTGGATTGAGCTTGGAATGACATTTGTGTTTATTGTTGCTACATCACAGTCCACCTTCAGGCACAGTGATCTGTGATTAGACTTTCTTTGACAAGCAAAATGAGCGCATAGAATTTCCAACGTCATTTAAATTACACTCCAAAGAAACAAGAATAATTGATCTTGGTCACAAACATATTACAAGAGCCATGAACAGCATTTTTGTTCTAGACAGCCTTTTCCAGTAGAATGTCATTTTTGTCACTCATGATTGATTGGTTTTTGTCAACTCTGAAAGGGTTTTTTGGTCTTCAAAAGGCAACACAATAGGTGTTGCGTTGCCGTAGAACTCTTCCAAGTTGTAAAACTCCCTTTGCTGGGGAAGGAAAATGTGTACAACCACATCACCTGGAATTAAAGTACATACGAACGAACCTCGTTAATTATCATATATACAGGCTAAAACATCTTCACCTAGACTAATTTAGTAGATGATTTTATAATATCAATCAATAAAGCAGATACGAACGAACCTAGTTAAGTTAATTTATTTCTTGATTACATACGCTGAATGTCTATTTCTCTTGTATCACCAATTTAAGAAAAGACAAACAAACTAACCGAAGTCCAGCAATGTCCAGGAGTTGGGTTTGAAGTCCCCAGTTGATGTTCTCCCGTATTTTGTCTCAGCTAAATCCCTTATTCTCGTCCTGAATTAACAAACATAAAAGTTTCTTTAAAAGTTTTGGGTGGTGATGAATTAAATCAATGAACTGTGACAGTAAAAAGATGCCAATAACTGCCTTTTTACCCAATTGCATCTATCTGAGGCCTAGAAAATGCTGTGGCAATGATAAAAAAACGAGTCCAGTAAACAAGAGGCTTCACAAAGAGAAGCCTTATATCTGCCGCCTTCACATCATTCGCAACCTTAGCCAATGCCATGGCAACTGCATTTACCCACAAAGAAAATCTCCATAAAATAAATTGGGTCCCTCCAAAATGCTGATTGAAACGAAACAGTATTTTACAAATTGAAGAAAATGGAATGCCAATGTAAACGGCATTCCTGATGCTCAAAGCATACCAAAATCCAACTCATTCTTGACCTCAATTCCGTATTATCTTGAGGATTCCAAAAATCCTGCTAGAAATTTATTTCAACTAGACTATGTTGAAGATAATACAACTAATAACATTACCGGAGGAGTATGAGCATAACAACACTATATATAGTAAATCTGGTTTTAAGCTAAGCTAATCTAAACTTAAAAAGAAAAAAAAAAGTAGGGATAGCTTACAAGTCAAGCTTTCTGCATCCTCATCAACCTCTTCACTGACGGGCTTTTGATCGTTTCTTCTATAGACTACCTTCCCATACTTCTTGAACAAGTCATCAAACATATCATCTGTATCTTCACTCACATTCTGCAAGTAAAAATGCAGTAGCCCATCAACTGCTTATTCAAATCGAGTAACTACTTAAGTATGATGCACAGATTCAGTACTAGTGAAGATGATAAAGGATAAAAGACGTCAATCAATACAAATGTAATGTTGCACTAGAACTAAATACAATAGCCAAAAACCTTAACTTTCAAAAAACTAGAAATATAAAAATGAAATGGAGCAAGAACCAGTACACTTATACTGACAATTTCAACACTCCCCGTTCTATATCATTTATCCTGACCTAGCAAGGAAGCCCATTACTAGGTCGGTAGAAACACTTGATTCAAGAATTAGACAACACAAAGGCTCTTGTACACAGTAACCCAAACAAAAAAAATTCCAAAAGCTCATTCAACTTTTTTAGGGTCGTTAAACTCTTTAGGAAATTAAAATAATTACCGAGCCGACAGCCATACGAGAAAACAGCGAGTTCCGACAAGAAGGCATCTGTAAGAAAAGAGGCCGGACTAAGTCGTTCGAGAAGCAGAGGTTTCTGGGTCTTGGAAGGAATTCACATTGTCGCCGGAAGGAAGTGTCGCCGGAGGTCGGAGTTCCGGCGCAAGGAAGAGTGTGGTGGTGAAGGGGGCTGGTGGATATTATCATTTCCTAAATAATTGTACTGGTTTTCAACCAAACATCAAAGAACCGAAAAGGGAAGCCAAAGTTGAGATATTTCTGAAGCTAATCAGTTATTATTCGCCGTCTTGTTTGAAGGGAAAGATAGAATTGCAATTGGATCCAAACTGGAATCTATATTTCCACCCGATTAATTATTGGATCAATAACCCTTCATTGGGCCCTAATTTTGTGGGCCATAAATATTATAATTCGTTTTAATAAATTGGTAAATAAGGCCGTTCAACTCTCAGCCCATTAGTTGAGAAACCCATTTACCTCAAAAGGAACCCTCGTTCTCAACACTCAACCCCAACCTGCGAGTATATAAATCAATTCCAGCTGAAACCCTAATCCCTACGGCCATACTTCACATCGCCACCATCTCCACCCGCACAGCACACACACACACACACGCAAAAATGGTGAAGTTCCTTAAGCCAAACAAGGCGGTGATCCTCCTCCAAGGAAAGTACGCCGGTCACAAGGCCACCATCGTGAAGAACTTCGACGACGGCACGCGCGACCGCCCCTACGGCCACTGCCTCGTCGCCGGCATCGCCAAGTACCCCAGCAAAGTCATCCGCAAGGACTCGGCCAAGAAGCAGGCCAAGAAGTCGCGCGTCAAGGCCTTCATCAAGGTGGTCAACTACAACCACATCATGCCCACGCGCTACACCCTCGACGTGGATCTCAAGGACATCGTCACCGCCGACGCCCTGGTCTCGCGCGACAAGAAGGTTACCGCCTGCAAGGAGATCAAGGGAAGGTTCGAGGAGAGGTTCAAGACTGGCAAGAACCGCTGGTTTTTCTCGAAGCTCAGGTTCTAAGTATTAGAAGCTGTGGAGGTTAAATCTTGTGCTCGAGTTGTGTTTCAGTGTTAGCTGTTTTTTAATGGAGTTATTTATGAGCTTTTGAATTATATTTGAATGGATGGATAGGGTTAATTTTGTTATGGAATGTCTCGTGTGCTTGACATTTCTGGATATTTCTTGTTGTTACATTTGAACTTCTTCAGCATGAATATTTTTGTTCTGGAATTACTTTATGCTTTATTTTGAATGGTCTTGATGTGTTCGGAAAATATATTTATGCAGTGCTAGGTTTAAGATGATGAGTCTGATTATTGTTCCTGTACAAATCTGTATATCATTTCATTCAATCTAATTGGATGATAAGTGAATTAAAGATAACAAAATGTGATGAAAATTTTGTTGGAAGATAGTTGAGCAATTTGAGTTTGTTTCTCGAAGGGTCTAATTTAATTTCTTTGTAGTCATTGTGGATGTGAAATTTTTATATCACCATAAGTTGTATGATGTGCTCAATGAAGTATAATGATTCATATTGATCTTGCATTAGAATTGTGGTATCAGAAAATTCGTTCAATCTTATTTGTCCTAGTTTCTAATTTGAGGAACTCGTTTTGAAGTTTGGGTGTTCTGCTTCATTTGGACACTCGATGCCAATTTTCTTCTTCTTTCTAAAGTAGCAATATATTTCTGTATGTCTTTTGTTATATTTTCTGAAACTGAAACAGTGTGTGGTTGAAATGTTTGTTCCATTAACTCTTAGTTCCATACTTCTCTATCGCTCAGAAAATTTCATTGTAGGTATTTTCTTCTTAGTTGTCATATAATGTGGAGTCCTATCTAAGATGTTGTTATGATGTTAATTTATCTTTTGATAGGAAAAATCGTGCATTTTTTAAAAACTTCTAGAGTTTGTTTATATAATTTATTATTTGGCACCCACTTGTGATTAGAGTTTCTGTTTATTTGCTCATGTTTTCTTCTACACATTGTATCCGATTGAATAAACTTTGGCTTATAATGGCACAGTTTCCTCCTAAAGTTTTTTTTATAGCTTGTAGAAGTTAATATCATTAAATGTAAATGTTTTGGCTTATAGCGGCTGTTTCTGCTTGTAATTTTTCTAACTTATGGAAGTTTACCTCATTATAGATGTAAATGTTTCCAGTGTCAAAATTTGAGCATTATAAGGCAACTTGCGTATTAAAACTATTGTTATTGTGAATGGTGTTTGTTTCTCTGGAAGTGTGATGGTATTTGTTGTGTATGTGTATTTTTTATGTTGGCATTTTGACATTGGAGTAGCTGGATATTGATGTAGGAATGCTGTTTGGCTGTGTAGCATTATACTTGGGATATCCAAAAATTGTCAGTATTGATTAATTTGTTTTGAAGTTCATGTACTGCCGTTTTCGTTTGGATAGTAGTGTTGATAGATTGATTACTCTTGATAAAGTGGTTATTTTGATCTTCCCCCTTAAAATGTGAAGAAATTGCAAGTGTCTTCTTCTTTCATTGTTCGTCGTAAATTCACTTGTGTGCTGTTTATTTGGATTATTTTGATATTTGTGGATTATTCAATGTTCTTCAGTTTTCTGGAGAGGATTTTCGTGTATTATCTATTAGGATAACCAACTAGTAATTACTTATAATGCTGTGTTGATGCTGCTTGTTCATTTTCAGTTGTGTAATGATTGGCTCATAAGCTGTGGCTAGTGTGAGCAAATTGGTTCAAAGCCGAATCTCAGAAACCAAAACTGAAAACTTGAGAAACTGTTTATTGATAACAGAACCAAACTGATTCTTGTAACCACACACTGTTTGGTTTTATAATTAACGTGAATTATTAATTTATCTGTAACCTTGAAAAAATGAAAATACTCCACCTTTATAAAATACATGCTGAAGAAGAGAAGAATTTTTCAGAGCACCGAAAGGGTTATGTGAATTTGGTGAATGTACCGAGAGTCATACGTTTAGAGTTTGAAGGTTAAAAATAAGTGATACACACCGGTAAATGAAAAAAGAAAAAAAAAAGAAGTATGGTATACAATATTAATGAATCAGTGATAGTTCAACTTGTCCTAATCAATTGGTTTTTTTTTTGGCGACAAAGAACCGAATTTTATCACACTCAATAAGCAAAGTAATTTCTTAGTGCTCAGAAATCCAAACCAGCATTTCTAAATGAAAATCCTCAATTTGCTCTTGACAGGTAATTTTCAAGTTTTCTCTCGCATTTGTTACGGCTTAGCCCTTGAAGCACTGGATTCAGCTTTGTCCTGCTTATCTTTTGATTTGTCAAAATGACTTGATAAACAGATTTCACAGTAATGTCACCTTTCTCAGTCCAGTGCCAAACAAGCTTGTCTCTTAAGCCCATGTGACTTAGAGATAATTGTAAAATGACCTGAGCATCAAGAGGATGAAAAGTTTGATAGATGAGGTCTCTATCCCACTCATCCTCTTATTGATTAACTAATTGACTCAACCTGATTAAATTACACACATCTTATCTTAATTCACTATTCATCCACTCAAATAATTTTAACTAATCATCACTTCAAATTTTTTCTCACCTACTTTACATCAAATCAACTTTAATCATTTTATTTTAAATATTATTTAATATACCCACTAACAACTAACCATACCAACTTTTTCAAAATTAACCAAACCAAACAAAAAAATCTAAACAAAACCAAATTTTTTTATATCCAATCATCCTCTAAGAATCCGAGGGGATTCCCAGATGTTAATTGACTTCCCATCCCCAACCTTATACCTGCACCCTAAAACCAAAGGCTCTCTAACTCCTAACTAGTTTTTCCAAAGCCTAAGAGTCCCACTCTTAGCTTTCACCTCAAACAGTTTTTTACCCACTAAAATATCTACCGCTTATAATTCTACTCGTTAAGAGGTTAGGTTTAGTAATAACTTTCCGAAGTTGCTTCACAAGGAAATCTTCATTAAAGGCTCCAATATCATTTTCCCTCACCTGCTTCTATGGGAAATAAATTAATCAATATATGGTATAAAGTGGACGAATTTATTTTTGGTATTTGATGTCTGTTTCTAGGAAAAATAAATTAATAAATATATGGTATAAAGTTGACAAATTTATTTAGGTTTTTAGGAAATTTCTTGGGAGATTAATTAATATATGGTATACTTTTGTCTGAAATTCACATACCAATATATTGGTTTTTCGCGTGGGTCTCAATTTTTATTTTAATTTTTTGTGTGAAATTACCATAATGAAATTATCGCAACTCCGACAAGATAATATGAATGAATATTTTGACATACTATGTGTGTCTCGAGATGGTCAATTTTTTATTTGTATAATCAGTGGGTCTCGATTTAATTAAATTTTTGTTACAACATTTCAAATATTTTTTTTGTGTGAAATGCATTGTTCAATATTTGTTAGTATGATAAAGGGTGTCTCGATTTTTTGGTATAAAATATCTAAACAATAATATGACCAATTATTTTAGAATAAATGTGTGTCTTTGTATTTTTATTTTTATTTTTTGTAAGCTTTCAATTCGATATTTTCGGTATGAGAAATCTGAAAAATAATATGACCCATATTTTTCGTATAAATGATTGGATTGGAAGTCAAAATTCTAATGAGATCTTATAAAAATGCATTGTATATCGTATTAATCATTCTTTAACAAAAAACTTTCACAATTTCCTTTCAAGTGGCCAAATTGATGAAACAACAAAAAAATACGCGAGATCTACATAAAAAAAATTCGATATTATCGATTTGATTCAATATACCCGATATAATCAAATTATTAATTGATTAGCAAATAACCAAAATATAATTGCTAAAAAATCTCAAAATAAAATATTACATAACCACATTGCATATCACCAATTCATTTGCAACATATAAATAAACAAATACGAAAAAAAATATAATAGCATCATATTAACCAAAAAAGCATGTGAATTACATAAAGTAAATATTTTTTAATACAAAATAGAACAAGTGTTATTTGCATACTTTTAAAAATTGACATGAATCATTGGCAATTTATTGTGTTTGTTAAAATATTTTCATATCAAATATTTATGGAATTGATCTAAAATATACTTTGTTCTTCCCCTATAAATTCAATGCAGATCTATGTTGTCTACTCATCCTGCTTTTGATTAAATTTTTTATTACACAAATATACGATTTATACTTATTTAATTCAATTCAACATGAGGTGCGAATTCGGTCTGATCAAGGATGTCACTAGAACTAAAAAGCTACCCATAATGTTGTGTACGATTCAAATAATTGAACACAAATTTGAGGTTGAATACAATAATTACTTGAAAATTCTATTTCATCATGTGGACTTCCGACAGATCCTCCCGGTTATTTCAAAGTAGAGCCGTCAGGATATTGTGAATATTGCAATTAATTCTTCCGACATATGGGCTGACTGTACTGTGTTGAGGCTCACAAAAAATATAAGAGCATTGGTGATTCGGATGAAAGCGAGGAGCTAACAGCTTTTGCTAATTCGATACCAAACATCGGAGATGGAACCATTGCGGAATTCAATGATAGATGTGCCTTGATAGACATACCTGGTGATATATTATTGAAGCCTACTGATGATCTTATCGCTGCAATTGTTGGGATCACCGATCCAATATTTAAGGATGCAACTGATGATTCTAGTTATTTGAAGGATAGGCTATACTAGCCCCAACGTTGGAGTTGGTTGAGTCTATGAATGAGTACATGACGTCTTTGAACTTGACTAATGGTCAAACATACTTGTGCTCTCATAGTACGTGCAAATCTGATTTCAATAATGATTTTTTATCCGATCTCCACACCCCTGGGTTTTTTAATACTATCAGATGTTGTAGAGTGTCGAGCCATGAGTTGAATCTTAAGATAGGAACCACGGTTATGTTGTTGCGGAACATTGACCATTCTATAGGGTACAATAGTACGGGATTGGTTATCATAAAGCTCTCCACTCATGTGTTTGAATGTAAGGTATTGACAGAATCTAATGTAGGAGAGAATGTGTTGATACCTCGGATGACTCTAACACCTTCCGACGTTAGAGTACCTTTCAAATTTCAGCGGAGGCAATTTCTCTTAATGGTTTCTTATGTCATGACGATTAACAAGAGCCAGAGTCAGTCTTTATCACATCTTAGCATGTTCTTGAAGAAGCTGGTGTTCAGTCAATGTCAGTTGTATGTAGCCAAGAACCAGAGTTAGTCTTTATCACATCTTGGCATGTTCTTGAAGAAGCTGGTGTTCAGTTGTATGTAGTTGTTTCTCGTGCCACTAAGCGAAAGAGCTTAAAAATATTAGTTTGCGGGGAACAATTGTGTGCCTACAAAGCAAAAAAAATTGTCTACAAGAAGATTTTTAATCATATATAATATTAATTTTTTATTCTATTTATTTAATTTTTTTATTCATGAATATAGTAATAATATTAAGTAAACAATATTAAATCTATCCACCTCGTGTATCGCACGAGTTATGCACTAGTACAAGAATTATATGAAATTATAGATTCTATCAAAATATTTGTGGAAATCTCTATTTAAGACGGATTATAATAAGTGATATTGAGATAAGTGGGCCCAATTTAGTCTTTTGCTAATGGGGCGAACCTATCAGGATAACTTAAAAGCCCAATCAAAAATGTGGGTGTAAAAATCTTAGATGGGAAAATAGAGAGGCTTCGGACCAAAATCCAAAACCTCTTTCGCATAGATTTTACCCTTCAACGCTATCCTCATTCATCTTCTACGCTCCAGCTGGCAGTGGAGATGGCCATGGCCACTGTAAATCAAGTCCATTTTCCATCAAACGCAAGGCCGATCACTAGCAATTTCATGGCTGGTTCTGTTTCAGCTCTTGGTTTCGCTTTGCTCGGCACTTGTAAATGTCCAGCTCTTACAGACTCCAAGCGCGGTCGAAGTTGTGTCACGTTTGCTTCGGTGGCGCCGGTCGAGGAGAATACTGAAACAAAGACTGCCGTGATCAGAATTGGCACCAGGGGCAGGTGAAGTTTCTTCTCTTTGCCATATTTTTGTTTTCTACATTTTGATAATTTAAATGTTAATTATAAAGTTGCTCTGATTTCGAGTTCATGTGCGTTTTGAATGGCCATGTTATGGTTTGATATACTGAGCTTCAGTTTATTTCAGGAGAAAGTTGAATTATTACTAATTTTCTGTTGCATTTTTCAATTTTGTGTACGCTTCTTTCTGTTCCACTTCATTATCAGCAATTTTCGAGTGTTCCTCAAACTGTGTTTTTTTATGAGTCTGTGTGTGTGTGATTTCTCCTCATTTGAATTGCTTTGTGGTCTAGCAATACTCACACATGTGTTATCTGTTACGAGTTCTGATCGTTTTATATTCGATTTTATCTTGTTCGTATACCTTGCTTTCCTTTATGCCAACACTCGTATTCCATTAACCTACAAATGGACTTTTTATTCAAATATTTCTATGTAATCAATTTGTTTCGATTCTTTACTGATTTCCTCTTTGTCCTATTATTTGTAGGACAGCCCACTTGCTCTCGCACAAGCTTATGAAACCCGAGATAAACTGATTAGTTCACATCCGGAGCTAACCGAGGATGGGGCTATCCAAATCGTGGTCATTAAGACAACTGGCGACAAAATCGTGAGTCAGCCGCTGGCGGATATTGGCGGGAAGGGTCTATTCACCAAGGAAATAGATGAGGCCCTCATTAATGGCGATATTGATATAGCTGTCCACTCCATGAAAGACGTCCCAACGTATCTCCCTGAAAAGACTGTACTGCCTTGCAATCTTCCTCGGGAGGATGTTCGGGATGCTTTCATTTGCTTGAATGCCAACTCTCTACCCGAGCTTCCGGCAGGCAGTGTTGTTGGCACGGCTTCTTTGAGAAGGAAGTCACAACTTCTCTATAGATATCCATCGCTAAAGGTAAAGGGCGCTGTGGTATTAATTTGTTTGTGGTTCATTGGCGAGATGATGTGTAATTATTGTGTAGTGAATAGTAGAGATCATTATTTGTTTGTCATGAGTTCGTTGTTGTATGTCAATTGTCACGGTCACTCTCATTTTACCTTTTCTCTTTAAAATCTGTGGTGCGCTTGAATGCATTTTTTTTTGTTTTGCATCTTCTTACCTCTAATTATATGACCTTAAATAAGGTTCTATCTCTTGAGCTGGTTCATATCCCATTGGCAGAGACGTTTCATGATCCCTTTCCCTAATTTTGCTAGCTGTTTTTATGTTTTATAGGATATAGGGGATTAAGCATATGACTAAACAGTTTTATTTCAATGATAAAGTATATCTAGCTGAAACCCCTTCAGTTTTGTACATGTTTCTTTATATATTTTTCTAAAAAAATAGGAAATGATCATAAAACAAGCCCAGGCTCTTAGAAACAAGTTTTCTGTAATATAATGCTCTCAGAGTATTTGGACTCTGAAAGATGTGTTAGATCACCCACTAACTGGTTTAGCAAATAATTTTATAACTTCTCACTTATGAATGAGACACCCTGTATTGTTTATAAAGGGTCTTGATGCATATTCGTAAGGGTTTTAGAAATCTATCTATGAGCTCTGACAATGGAAATGCTTTTGTGAGTTTTACCTCCGATTTGTCACATACCTCAAGAATGGAAAGATCAGCCTTAGGAGTTGAGTATGAGAATACAGAGCAGTTTTTATGTAGCTGCCCCTTATAGTTCCTGGCAGATTCATCAGCTGCAAGGAACTGTTATATATTGTCATACTGAAATATGGACACATCAATATTTTTGCATGCTCAATTTGTTTTGTTCTTGTTTACCTTATTAACTTGCTTCATTAATAATGGAATGCGTAGATTTGATCTTCTAAATATAAATGCATAAATCCTACAGGTGCTGGAGAATTTCCGAGGTAATGTGCAGACAAGGCTAAGAAAACTGAACGAGGGGGTGGTCCAGGCAACACTACTGGCACTAGCAGGTTTGAAGCGCCTAAACATGACCGAAAATGTGACTACAGTTCTATCCATTGATGATATGCTTCCTGCTGTGGCCCAAGGGGCCATCGGGATTGCGTGCAGATGTGATGATGACAAAATGGTATATATATAATTTTACCCGGAATTGTTTTTCTTGTAATTAGAAAGAAATCATGGGGTTTCTTAAGATTTTCTGGGGCAACGGTTTTTCCTTTTGATGTTATTGTATGCTCGGAATATTTCATGTCTACAGGCAACTTATTTGGCATCCTTGAATCATGAGGATACAAGATTAGCTGTAGTGTGTGAAAGGGCTTTTCTTGAGAAATTGGATGGTTCTTGTCGGACACCGATTGCTGGGTATGCCCGTCGAGATGAGGATGGGAATTGTGTTTTTAAAGCACTGGTGGCATCACCCGATGGAACCCAAGGTACACTGAGGACAACTTTTTTGGGGATAGTTAAAAAATAATAATAAAAAAATTGTTAAATGGGCAATTTGCCATTTACATAAAAGTTTAGAGAAGTTTCTACAAAAGAAAGAAAAAAAAGGACTTCGAGGATTGGATCTAATACATTTGTTCATGCAAATTACGTTTTGAAAAATCCTTAGAGGATTTTCTCTGTTTGTTTAGGTAATTGAGGACTTTCAGTTGCAACTTACTTGAAATTTATGCAAGTTTTCAACTATTTTTTTGTTTGTTATGCAGTGCTTGAAACCTCAAGGAGGGGCCCTTATGCTTATGAAGATATGATAAAGATGGGTGTGGATGCTGGTGAGGAACTTCTGTCACGAGCTGGTTCTGGTTTCTTTTACAGATGAGTAGTTGAACTATAAATTAACGGGAGATTCTGATATATTATGCCCTTCCTATCCTTTTTGAGATTTAGCAACTAGTCTGAGTTGTGTTGCCTTTGTTGTTTTGCGAGTTAGGATTTTTTTTCTTGTGTGTGTGTGCGCGCGTGTGCATGCCCGCACTCATTTTTTAAACATCTTGTAACTTTTGTGCCACGTATAATGGTATGGAATTTGATAGAAATAGAATAAATTGGATAATAGAATGATTATGAGAAAGAAATAAAATAAGTTTTTTTGGCATGCAAAACGAATAAGTTTTGAATGGAGTGACATTATCACCCTACATTATCATTTATTATTATTGTATTACAATTTTAATAGTTTTATTAATGTTATTTTCTTATTTATGATAATATTAAAATTATTTATAATATATTTTAAAATATGTATTTTTGTACTATTGCACTCATTTTATATAATAAATAAGTGAATCATGTATTTACATATACAATAACTAATATAAATATATCATTTCATAAACTCCTGTAAGCATATGCTTTAGGTTTTAATTTACAATGTTCATTAATTTTAGTGAGTTAATATTAATTGTTGTACACATCGTGGAACTTAAGCCCATAAAAAAGGAATGCAAAATATGCTGCCCAAATATGCCCAACCCATGAAATACGCACGACTGGCCCAATGGCTATGCATCATACCGATCTCTCCCAACATGATTTATCGATCCTTTTGTAGAAGATCCAATAGCTATGCATCATACCGATCTCTCCCAACATGATTTATCGATCCTTTTGTAGAAGATCACTGCCGATCTCTCTAAAGTGTGTGAACGGCCGACAATAGAATCGGTAAAGCAACCACTCAACCGGTCCATCATGAAAAAACAAAAATGCATGTCTCATCTTTAAAAGTCGAATTTTTGCATGACAACACGTGTCTGCCATCTAGCCCCTAAACTGACATACTATCTATTGACGATCGGAATTGATCAACGGTTAATAAAAATTTTTTGAAGGGATAAAATGAGTGAAAGAATAGGAATTTATGAAATAGATATGCTTTTATTACTTAATTACGAGATCGTCCTTTTATATTGGGGTCGACTCTCTTGTTACACTTAGGAATGACTACAAGCTTTTTTGCAGAATAAATGCAGTGAGAGAGAGAGAGTTGGTGAAGGAATCACCAACCCCTAATAAATGAGGAGGTCTTCTATTTATAGTATCCTTAATCTGGCACTGTTCATCCTGTCGCTTCGTGCAGTAATCCAGAATGACAGGTCGGCGCCGCTCTAACAAGCATTAAATGAGGTCTGAGGTTTTTATAATGATTACGTGTCAGGCATTAAATGCACACATGTGGGGCATTTAATACTAACAGGCCGCCCTACCGATCTAGATGCTCTAGGGTGGTTGACTAGGATAGCATGTCTCGCCAGCAATCATCACCGGACAAGTGACAATATTATATGATTTTCAAACCCTTCACGCATGCCAGAGCCGACCTTAATGAATCTTCAGGTCGGATCATCACCTGGACATTGACCATTTTCATCTTCTGGTTCTCAGGGTCTTCACTTCTCGGATCGATGCTCGGACGAGATCGACGTCGTTTCCCCGAACAACATAAGTGTCGTTCTCTGTTGTGTACAATTGTTATATTACCGAGTACCGAATCGAAGGATTCGTTTCCCGGGTCGATCTCTCGAGGAAGGCGGTTCGGAATTTAGAATTGGTATTGATAACACAAAAAAAAGAAAAATAAATCCTAAACACTCTAATTAGATTGGGGAGGAATTAACTATCAACTAAGAAATAGCATAAAAGCATAAATCCTAAAATACCAACTAAATAATAATAAAGAAACTAGGGAATCGGGGATACTTTATTCAAGTTCGCAACGTAAAGCCACGCAATTGATCGTTCGGTTCGGAATTGACACTCTCGCCTACACGTCTAGCGGTTCACTCCCAATAACTTTTCGTAACAAGGAATTGAACATAGACGAGCAAGTTTGAGCATACAATACCGACCAAGTATCCAATCCCAATAACTTTTTGTAACAAGGGACAAGACACCGACAAGCATGTATTTCAATCCAAAACCCATAGATTATTCAGTTACGAAATCATCTATCTCATGCGAGCCTAGGTCTACGACTTTTTTCCTTTCGGTTCTAAAAGTCGCTAGTTCAATTAGAAGGTGTTTAATCAACTAATCATGTAGGATCAATAAACCCTAACTCAACAAATCAATATTCAAGCGCAAAATCGAAGTGTCACTCTTCGATTATATCAATAAATTAACCTAAGTGTCACTCTTAGGTTATATCAAATCATCAAGCAAGAATTCATCAATTCCTAATTAAATTTACTCGCACAAGAACAAACGAATCAAGCCCGACAAATACACGTTAAACGAGAACAATCATCCCATATCCCTAGCAGAAGGAATTAGCCACTCATATTCAATTCAACACCATCAACCACAACAATCAAAGCAATCATATTCATGGATTAAATGAATAGAAAACTTACGATTAAAACAGAATTGAGAGTTGAATGTGAAATACAAGATTAATCCGAAAGTAATGAAGAAATCCAAGTGAAAAACAAGATCAAGATGGTGTTCTTAGGGTAAGAGAAGGGGAAAAAATGGGTTTTTGGGGGATTTTTCTGGTCTGGGAACATGTCCCCATGAAAAGTCCCCGAAAAAACGAACAAAATTGAACTTAAATTTCTGCACGTCGCGACCTCCGCGGCCGCGACCACTCCTCCACGGCCGCGGTGAAGGAACACCCGCGGCCGCGGCCGTCCCCGAGGCCGCGACATCCACAGGCCAGAAAAGGGGCTTTTACCCTCGCGGCCGCGACCTCGCCTCTGCGGCCGCGGTGAAGGAAACTGGGCAGCTACGCGCTGCTTTACGTTTCGAGCTCGTTTGGGCTCGTCCGAACTCAGAATTGAGTTCTGTTTTTTGCTATGCGTCACCAACGAACCCATCTATCCAGTTATGCTCTCAAAACCAACTTTTCCTGAAGAGAAAATTCGCCCAAAGCTCCTGACCTACACACCAAAAACGACAAAACACAAAAGAAAACCGGAAAAACAAACGAAAAACACCTAAGGGCTCAAGATGAAGGAAAACACATAATAAAACACGAAACGGACTAAAAACTAAAGAAACGACCTAAAATGGGGAAAAAGAAAGATAAAATAAACACGAAAAACGCAACAAAAATTAGACAAACATTCTCAGTAGCTGTTCCGCACATTATTCTTATTAACTTTTTTCCTTTTCGAGCTCGACATCTACCCAACCGGGTGTCGAGTCGGCTTTATGTGTCATCGGCGAGATTACTGATCTTAGACCGTTGGTCCTACACGGCTTAACTCAGATATCAACACTATCATCATTATATTTTTACTTTTTTCGCATATAAATGGAGCGCTGAAGTACCTCATACAACAGACAACCATACACCATACTCAGGACAATACACTCATAATACAATTTCTCCATTGCCGATCCAACAAGAAATAGACAAATCGTGCGCGTCCTTATTTTCTTGTACTTTTGTTATAACAAACATTTTCTGTAGATCATCCTTAATTTCTTAACTAAGACAATTGTCGATCGATGTTCAACAACACTGATATATGGCAATTTTTCTTTGATGATTGTAATAACTAATATTGTTTTTTCTAAAAAATTTTTTCGAAACGATAGATTGTGTTCCTCAAAAAGGGGATGTACACGATAAAGATCGCAGGCTAACTAGCCAAATTGGCTCACCACACAGTGGAATCAGGGAGGAACACTAACACTATTGTCTTAGATTAAAACTAATCCCGAAAGAGGGTACCAAGATACCGACAACGGTGCACAGAAGGCTGCTGAAACCGAAAGTTAGGCGACTACCTACAACACAAAAGCAAGAACACCCACGAGGGGCGAACACAACTCCAACTAGTGGAGAACCTACTCCAATAAATGGAAAACAGAACACTAACAAACTTAGCACATGCCTAAGATATCTATAGACTAGTACCTCCCCTACACAACGTGGGCAACTCGAGCCCAACCACGGTCGGCAGACTAGCCAAATCCACAACAGAGCAACCCACGACTAGAACTTAAAGATCTGCAATTAACGACTCCTGAGCTAAAAACTCCACCGAAGGGCTAGATAAAAACTGACAAGAAGGCGAGCCTTAGTACACATCCAAGATCCCGAAGTCGCCAATCGGGGGAAGAAGAAGGCACAAGGGGAACGGTCCGAACAGCTGCGCCAAAGGACCCTAACCCGAGCACCAGAAGGGGAAATCCACCAACAAATATGATTGGTCGGGAAAAAGTGTGCATTATATATATATATATATATATATATATATATATATACTATTAGCGTATTTTTATATGCTTGATTTTATCGCACTTATATGTTTTCCGACTTTATTCATTTCTTTGGATGGATTATTGTACTTTGATATTTTTATGGTTAATTTTTAGGATATTGGAGTGTTTTCATGGGTGACGTGACATTGAACGAAATTACACCCAGAGCAGTACGGGAGTGCCCCATATTCTGCTACCGGCAGAGCTGGAAACCCCATACTATGTTGACAGAACAGGCCCAATATTCTGATTGGTTGATAAGAGCCCAATTATTGAAGTGTCTTACAAGGCTGTAAATTACTAAGGCCAAATAATGAATGAATGGGTTATTTAAGCCCAATTTTGGAAAATTAACTAATTGGTGAATTGAGGAGAATTTAATCACGCAGCCATATGCCAATTGAAGGATATCCATTATCTATTTAATAAAAGAAAGGGAGCAGCCCTTGATCATACGCCGCATTCACGCAAAAAAACCGCCACGCAGAATAAAGGAAAAGAACAGAGACGCGATAACTAACGAGGGATCCGGCAATCGCGAAGGGAGGCCGCACTCGTACACGAGGGAGATAATTAATCCTCTCTTTTATCTATTTTTTCTTTTTATTTATTATGATAGCTTAGATTTTATTTCTAGTTCCGGGAATGTCGAACCCTATGACTTGACGATGTTTGATTGATTATATGGTTGATAATTTCAATATCTTTTTGGAATTGTTTGTGTTATTTTGAATAATTAACCATGATGTGTTGAGTCTTATTTAGATTGATCACCTAGATTAGGCTTTTCATATCTACAACTGAATTAGACATTCAATCCGTAATTGTTGTTGTGTTTAATTCATTAGAGGCTACCGGAAGACGGTAACTACCGGGGATAACACGGCCTATTTAAGTGAACGAACGCGGTTG